CGAGTCGGCGGAGTGAGCGGCGCCCTCCGAAGCAGGCCTGGCGCAGCCTGGGGCGGGCGGGCCCTGACTTCCAGTGGTCCGCCAGTGACGCATGACGCTGTGAGAGCCGCCAAGACTGACCAGTCTGACCTGCTCCCGGGGAAATACCCACTTCCTGCCACCCGTCCGCTCCCACTGGCTCAGCCAGAGGCCTGTGGGGTTCGCCCCAGGAGCCACCCCCAGCCCCGCCCAGCCACCCTCGGTCTCTGGGTGGTCGAGAGCCTGTTTAAAATGTGCTAGAAGTTCTGGGGCCTCCCAGGCATGAACTGGAAGTGAAGACCAGTCCTGAGCAGCGACCAGGGGACCCTTCCGCCCCCGCCGCAGCGGGTGGCCGTTCTCCGCTCCTCCTGCGTGGGCCCCACTCAGCCAAGCCACCCACGGGCCCCTCCCTACCTTTCTCGGATGCCTCGTGGGGCACAGACGGGCTCCGTGCACAGCCTCGGGTGTGGCTGCAGGGGGTGCTGGCCCAGTACCCGCTGCACCCCCAGAGGCCCCCAGCCCTCGCCCGGGGTTTCTTGGGGAGATGCTCTTGCCAGCCAGCCAGCCCAGGGCGCACGAGCTGGGGCCTGAGTGTGGCTGGGCCAGTGTCCACGGGGTCGTCCCCAGGAGCAGACTGGGCGGGTTTGCCCTCGGGAATTGGCCAGGCTGCTGGAGGACGCTGGCTCCGCCCCGCCTGTTGCTCAGAGCAGAGGCTCAGGGGCCGTGGGGCAGCCTGCGCCCCGCTGGCTGGGAAAGACGCCCTCCCTGAGGTTTCGCGGCGCGTCCCGGGCAGGGGAGAGGGGCAGGCAGCGCCCGCGCGGGTCAGAGGCCCGTCCTCCGGGCCAGTGCCCGCCTCCGTGGAAGCAGACACCAGCCCGCATGACTCATGCGCCCCACGCCGCGCCCTGCTGAGGACAAAGCAGAGAACGAGAAAGACGAGAATCCCGGCACCCGGAGGTGGGCGGCCGGCAGGAAGCAGCCAGCCAGTGAGTGCCGGGGAGCCTGAGTCCAGGCAGGAACCGGACGGCGGGAGGCCGGGTGCAGGCTGCGCTTTTGAACAGAACCACCCGGAAAGGCCGCGGGGAGGCCCCTCGAGCAGTCCAGCGGGCAGAAGCGTGTTCCGGCGGCGGCAAGAGCTGCAGGTGCGAAGGCTGCGGCGTGAGCCCGGACCTGGGCAGGCGCGCGGCAGGCAGCCCTAGCCGGTCAG